CCATAACAACCGACTACTATACTCTATTTTTTCAATTAAATATTGTTTTCGTGACTATCAGTAAATCAGTAGTATGAGATGTATTCACCAAATTTCGTTTAAGGCGACGAAGGAATAGTAAAATAAAAATTGTCCCAAAATGGAAGTGTCAGCTCAACTCATATCATTGTAAGAAAATTCTTCTTCTACCAGTCCTTCATTAACTTAAACGAAATTGTGTGAATACATCTCGCTAGCTTTAATTTGGCTGTAAGGATGCTACTATAAGTCTTATGACGGACTTAAAAGCTTAGCACCTTTTCACCGGAATCGAAAGAGATTGCCTCAGCATGAATGTTCCAGTAAAGCCAATCGACAACTGGTCACGAGGAATCGGCCTTCGAATCTCTTCACTCAAAATGGAAGTGAGCCCACCGGCAGCTTCCTCTAAACCCACCTTTATTCGCATACACAATATCTGATATATTCATATGGTTGTGTAAAAATTCAACTATTCTGACTTTAAACGAAATAGAATGAATACATTCGACAAATGTTGAAAATTGACTGGACTGACACTCCTCACTGTTTGCTGTGTTGATAGCCGGCAACAGATCCGCTTTCGGACCAACTAAATCTATGGTGGCGACCGTGTCACGGTGGAAGTGTTGCCAACGGCAACCCAGTCCAGTTGTTGGGAGGCTAAATTGTACGGCATCGTGGGGCCTAGGCTACCATTGAAAAGAGTAGCGGTAACATGGACAGCATCGCGAGCCGAGTTCGATTCGCGTTGGGTGTGATGCTGCGACCAGTCGTGGCGAGCTCGAAGCGGCGGCTGGGTCGGATACGTGACGTCGAGCCGAAGTGAGAATACCTTTCGCGAGGGGTAGTTCACTTTCACTCCTCGCTGGCCGTCAGCTGACGCCTCAATTCGGCGAACTCGTGGCTGGACGGGCGAAAATCTGCGTCTGCGCTTACGACGAGGCCGAGGGAGGAGGAGTGAAGTACGCCGAAAGGGCACGGAGACGTGAGGCTGGCCGAGTCTGGTATGGTCTGGCCAAAAGTGGCCGGCGATCATACCCTGCCGGTCGTCGACAGTGAATGTGTAATTAGATTTTCCAGCGTTGCCATGACCTCTGGCGTAATCGTGGCGAGAGAAAAATACGAAATACTCGCGCAAATTCGCTCACTCAGGCATCTGAACACGTCGCCAGCCTCATTTCACATTCGTCTTCACTTTTCACGAAAAAGATGGCGCCAATAAAATTCGCCTTCACCTCGTCGGGGACAATCGAGTGGCCAGTGTGTTGATCGCCCTGTTTGCCCCATACTCATCTACCAACTGGCAACTGGCAAATGGGTACGGCAGTTTAGTACTATTCGGTCAACAGATTAACGAACGGAGACGAGGTAAGCAGAAAAGAGTCGATTTTTTGTGTGAATAAATCTGGAATAAATGACCTATTCGCCTTGGCTCGCATCGGCTGATGAAGGATTATGGCTTGAATGTTGCCACAATCGGATGGCAAGACCTTAGGAAGCCCAGCGCCTCAACAAAAATTGATCGTGGCCAATGTAACATGTACATGGTACCACTAAATAGGCAAATAGAAGCCGACTTTCAAAGACTCCATTTGAAGGGTAAGTGTGACTAAACTTTTCGTTAAAAAGAACATGTTCCTTGAACGAGATTTGTGAATAGGAAAGAGTCCGTGGCTCATCGCGTCGTAACATGCATCATAAGAATGCGATGCCATAGATACCATGCGAAGACCTACTTATATAAAGAAAAGTAATATGAGGAAGTCTATGGAAATAAGCTGAAACAGTCAACATCCAGAATAGGAGAAAGGAATGGAGAAACTTGAGTGGATAAACGAGAAAGAGAGAGAGAGAAGCGGATTGAATAAGCCCTAGTTACTGCTCTCACATTCCACATTACTTGAGCATGGCATAGCTGCAGTAAGCAGTGACATATGCCTAAACATACACTAACATTGTGGAGTCAAAAGTTGGTATATTCACGTTACGAAACAGCTACGAGCACATCAATTCACCTTTCTTGCATCATCCATCTGCAAGCATGAAGTGTAACCAATCAAAGCATAAAATACCTCAGCAATATGGCACAATTAAGTACATAAAATGAGTAGATCTGAAGCTGAGTATCTTATTTTACGCTCTGACAATGTCTGCGACGAAAGCTCAGGTTCCGGTGGGGCAATTTCACGAGTTCCTTTCAACTAACTTTTCCATCAAGATGAAAATTCACGTCACATGTTGTCGCTAAGCCACATTGCCACAGCTACCAGGAGGTCACATAGCAGACGTGACTCTCAAAGCAACCAAATGATTTTCCCATATCACAGTTTTGGTGGGATATGAACCACCGACGATGCTTCTTGCCACATTCCCATTCGCCCAAAAGGTATATAAAGCTCCATAATACAGTCCTGCTTTTCCTTGGATTAGAAAGCTTGAATGACTGTGATTTCTTAATCGGACTTACCCACATACAGGCTTACATCTCATCATCTTAATCAGAATAACTTTATTTTTCGAATTAAGTGTTGTTTTTGTGTCTACCAGTAAATCAGTAGTATGAGATGTATTCACCCAATTTCGTCTAAGGTGATGAAGGACTGGTAGCAGAAGAATTTTCCCACAAGGATATGAGTTGAGCTGACGTTTTCATTGAATTTCACATAGCCTTGTTTTCCCAAAAGTTGTCATCATCCAGGCTTACATGGACTGCAGTTTCGACCTCGCAAATTTCGGGAAAGCAAGGCTATGTGAAATTCAATGGAAAGATTAGCCCTATTCTTATCATTGTGGAAAAATTCTTCTTCTACGAGTCCTTCATCACCTTCATCACCACGAGGCGGCTTGAAGGTGCTGCAGCAAGCCCGACTCGGTCTCTCGAACGCCCCGCAGGACTCGAACCATGAGCTGCTAGAGGGCGGCCTGACAATCACGGCCAAATTGGCCGTGAGAAGAAGCAGACAGACTCAAAATGGTTTTTTAGGCTATTTCAAAGCTGCAAGACTACGACTTAAGATGGCGGAGATTAAAGAGTAAAACTGAAACTGCGGTTAGAAACCCGCCGAGGGTGTTGATAAGACCGATGCAAGGTCGAAACTGCAGTCTACTCCGACCGGAATGAGAACAAATTTTGGGAAAGCAAGGCTGTGGGAAATTCAATGGAAACGTCAGCTTAACTCATATCTTTGTGGGAAAATTCTACTACCAGTCCTTCGTCACCTTAGACGAAATTTGGTGAATACATCTCATACTACTGATTTACTGGTAGTAAATAAAACGATACTTAATTCGAAAAACAATAATACTAGTATGAGTTGTATTAACTCAATTTCGTCTAAGATGATGAAGGGCTGGTAGCAAAATTCAATAAATACGTCAGCTCAACTCATATCATTGTGGGAAAATTCTTCTTCTACCAGACCTTCATCACCTTAAACGAAATTGGGTGAATACATATCATACTACTGATTTACTGATAGTAAATAAAACGATACTCAATTCGAAAAACAATAATACTATTATGAGATGTAATCACCCAATTTCGTTTAAGGTGATGAAGGGCTGGTAGCAAAATTCAATGAAAACGTCAGCTCAAGTCATATCATTGTGAGAAAATTCTTCTTCTACCAGACCTTCATCACCTTAAACGAAATTGGGTGAATAGATCTCATACTACTGATTTATTGGTAGTCATGAAAACAATACTTTATTCGAAAAACAAGAATACTATTATGAAATGTATTCACCCTATTTCGTTTAAGGTGATGAAGGACTGGAGGCATTATTGAATGGAAACGTCAGCTCAACTCATATCATTATGTGAAAATTCTTCTTCTACCAGACCTTCATCACCTTAAACGAAATTGGGTGAATACATCTTATATTACAGAATAACTTTCTTGCTTCCGCAATCTTGGACATGCTTTGCCTTAAATCATTACACCTTGATCGCTTAGGCATGAAGTTGGGCTCATTGGTAATTACTTTGAGTTGTTACTCTAATTCTTATGCATACAAACGTAAACACACAAGCACAGGCACACAGACACAAGCTAAGTGATGATTAATCTGATTGATATAGAAGAAAACAAACTAATTCATTCTTTGAGATGTTTTCACTCTATTTCGTTTGAGATGATGAAGGACTGTTAGTACAATTTCCCACCTTAAACGAAATAGGGTGAATACATCTCATATTACTGATTTACCGGTAGTCTCCAGACTATTCAAATACGGAAAATAAGTAATTTAGTCGATTGTTATAGCAAATATACGTTTGCTTCATCGACAATCTCACCAAAGAATGTGATATGGCAAAAGGCTTGACCTTCCTTGAAATTCACATTTGCCCTATGACGCAAGAACATTCGTGGCAATGTGGCCGAGTGGTTAATGTTTCAAGATCCCATTCTGCGTTGTCACGGTTCGACTCCCGATGAGGGTGTTGATAAGACCGATGCAAGGTCGAAACTGCAGTCCACTCGCGCCTGGATAAGGACAACTTTTGGTAAAGTAAGGCAATATGAAATTCATTGGAAACGTCAAGTCTATTCACATAATTGTAGGAAAATGCTGCTACCAGTCCTTCCTCACCTTAAACGAAATACGGTGAATACATCTCATATTAGTGATTTACTGTTAGTCTCGAAACTCTACTCAAATACGAAAAATAAATCAGACATTATCTATCTATTTATACTTTTTATTTTTTCTATTTTTTAGCTTTTAGTATATGCATTATGTTGACTAGAGCAGGTTAATCTTCTTGACTTTGTATAACTTAGAACTGTTGCAAGAATGAGTTCCAGCTGTGACGATGACTGTCCAACAGCATAAAGGATATCCTCCAAAGTGGAATTTCTTCGTGCGAAAACGCCATGACAACACAAGTCTAAGTTGTCTTGGCACCCTCGAAACGAGGGAGGATATTTCTTGGACAGCGTCAACCTGAACATGGTAGCAGTGCCAACGACTGTAGATCAAAGAAAGTCAACCGTCGTTTTCCAGTGAGATCGAGTTACGAATCTCTTCCTCGTGCATGTTTATACGAAATGAAAGTCAGCCCAACAATAGTGGAATTAAGTTGGTTTGACCTCGTTTTCGAAACTTGGTCGTGACAACAGGAGGACTTTGTGGGATGAGCCCAGCCCTGCGTTCTCGTAATAATGAATGGCATTGCACCATTGACTTGGTGCATTCAATGAAATGCTGTCGAAAAGTCTGAGAATGAACCACGTCAATGATCCGAGGCAGGAACTTCTTACGACCACTCAAACATGGAATACCAGACTTCATTTGGAGACTTTCATTTGAAGTGTCTTGCTTTCGTTTTGACCAATTTACGCAAACGAGGTCATGCCAAATCAAGAGCTGAAAAAGACGATGACCAAGACTAAGCCACACCAACTTGGTCATTGTAACTTCGATCTTATTTAGAAATTCTTGATGAAGCGAACTTTTATTTTATGAGTTGTATTCACCCAATTGTGTTGAAGGTGATGAAGGACTGGTAGTTGATTTTTTCCACAACGATATAAGATGAGCAGATCTTTTCCATTGAATTCCACATAGTCTTGCTGTCCTTAACGATGATCTCATCCCGACTGGAGTGGACTGCAGTTTCGACCTCGCATCAACTGGTCTTTTCAGCATCCCAAGCGGGAGCAGAACCAGGATAGTGCAGGTTGTAAGCTCGACACGTTAAACTTTGGATCTTTTGCGGAAAAAATCAACTGCCAGTCCTTCATCACCTTCAATGAAATGGGCTGCATACAACTCATGCATCTGATTTGCTGGTAGCCTCGAAAACCTAATCATGTAGGAAAAAATGTCTATTTTGCCATTACAAATAACTACACTACCTTTATTCTGAGCAAGTAGCTGTCAAGAGCATCGTGCATAAGACCCAATTCATCATGGGTCATACAGGGCCGGACTAGGACGGGAATATCGTTTGTGAGGCCTCCTGACGACCAGTTTTGTCAGTTTAGCCAACTTCAGCTTTCTGCCTTTCATCGTACTTATTCGAAAATAATTAGCCTCAGATAAACATTTTGTCTGGTTGCTTTCAAGATTTAGCTGCATTATTTATTCGGAACATTATTCATTATTATCGCAAGCGTTTCACGCCTAAATCACTTTGTGAATAAACCCTATTTCTGAGGAAATGTATATTCCGGAGCGAACCGTCTTCGCTTCACTTTCAAGCGGCGATTTTACAATTTGGGATATTCCCTTCGTGACGTCGATCAGTGATTGTCTCGAAGTAACAAGCCGGTCGCAACCGCGAGGCAATCTCAACGAAGAGAAGATGGCGAATTTCATGAAGGACCTGCTTTTATTGGCGAATTAGAGCATCAGCTATCATGTGTTGTACAAAACACTTCAAAAAGGGGACAAATTCCTTAGCTTTTAGGCCGGTCTAAAGTGTATTCGACACGATGGTATTCGTGAAATGCATTTTTTTGGCGGCCACTTAAAGGAACCCAACTCGGAATGGGTGAAAAGTGTCTTAAGGATGTTACATTGCTTTACAGCTTTGGAGTCGGTCTGAACCTGACAAGTCTCAAAGCGGTTTCAATTGATCTTGCCGCATCTCTACTCGGTTTTCTTTTTGTCAACCGCAAGGATTGGCCATCAAATTAGCATCAATTTTGTTAGCCCTATGCCTTTTTTCTTAGTCTTTATCTTACTATCGTTCTCCTCCCCACAGGGCGAGATCCCTCTGGCGAGACTGGAACTTCGGCACCCTTTGAAATGGACTCGTTGATGAGGAAAACTTTCATTTTGTCATTACATGTGACGATGCTACTTATCTATGCTGGTAAGTAGTTCTCGAGGCTAACAGCAGATCAAAAATAAGCTTTATTTCGCGTAGGGCACTAAATGGCAGAGAGCATCCGCAAGAGGAAATCGTAGTCCAGACCAGGCGAGAATACCTTTCGGGGGCAGCGAGTCTGGAGCCTGGACAGCCTTAAAAATCGCCAAGTCTTGTAGTGGGAATGCTGATGAGGCTAATTTCTATTTTGCTGTCACATGCGACTGCACTACTTACAGTCGAAATAAGTAGTCCTCATGCCACTTCTCAACTGGACACCGCTTTTAGATGTTTAGCCTCAGTGATTTACACAATGCTGCTTTAGGCATCGTTTCTTTGCGCTCTGCATCCAAATCTGGCCATCGGTACTGAGACGCCTGCAAGTGGAAATGCCGAAAGCGGAATTTGCTGATTCTGACCGAGTT